CTGAAATACAGTTTTGAGAAGGCCTTTATACGGCTTGATAGTAACACTTTTGGAGGTCGTTTACATTTAAAGTGCAGGATTTTGGTATACTTTGTTACCCACTGTCTTTTTGATGTGTTTCTTCCGTAAATTCGAGAAAAAATTCTGTTCTTGAATCAGATTGGAAGCCAAAATTGTCTTCGTTGTTTTTAATTCATTTCATGCAAACAGAATTACTGAAACCAAAAACGGGATCAATACGTTAGTTCCAAAACTTCTTAAGGTAAACCGGAGAGCTGTTTATTAGAGGAGACCTTCTAGAGAACTGATTAGAAAGCTTTTTCAATAGGATTTCTAATTTTTTTTGTCAACGTTAATTTTTCTTTTCAAAGGCATGCCATTTTACAACGGAACATTTTAAATATTTAGAAGTCTAAAAAAGTTTTTTACTTAATTTCGTCTTTGTTTAAGGCAGTGTTTTACGGTATTCTTCAGAAAAATAATGAGCCTTTTTGGAAGTAAACCTGCTTCTACACAGTCATCAGTTTTTACCTTTGGTAACACGACAACGTCCACCGCAGCAGCACCGTTATTTGGGTCATCAACAAGGTAGATGCTTCTCCTTTCTTTTTCGTAGTGGAATAATAAAAAGCTGTTTCATCACAGTAGTTTTATATTTCTTTACCCCTATATTATACGTTTCTGTCGTGCAGGAAAAAAATTCACTTTTGCATTCGACGAAAATATATAAATTTCTCGCCGTAGTTTTCTTAACTAAAATATGAATTTGGTTTAGCACAAGTAATGCCCCTTTGTTTGGGTCGACAACAACATCATCGGCCCCTTTGTTTGGTTCAGGTGCCACAACGACGGCGACTGGTTCACTATTCGGCTCTACTGGTGAGTGTTTACAATAAGCTTTTCTTCTTAAACAATTTTACTGCGAAAGTCTCTTGCGATATAATGTTAAATTAAATTTTATATTACTATTAGCTATTGATATTGCGTGTCTGTTAAATTATCTAACTTTAGCCCCAGGTGTGACGTCTACTTCTGCCCCACTTTTCGGCTCTTCAACAGCGTATGAACTTTTTTTTTATATGGTTTAAGAAGCTCTTCTACAGTTTCTTTGCGTAATATGATTGGGAAGTAACGTGTTGTCGTTTTTTCCCGCTGGCGAAGTGAGTTAGGATTGAATTAACTTATTTTTTAGGGCTAAGCCGCTTTTAGGTGGGGCACCAACAACGTCAGCGCCTCTATTTGGCGCAGGGCTGACAACTTCTGCTCCACTTTTCGGGTCGACCACAACGACAGCATCGTCACTTTTCCCCGCAAAAACGACAGGATCTCTCTTTGGAGCAACAACCTCTGCTCCTTTATTTGGGGCATCGACGTCGGGTACATTGTTTGGTAGTAGTACTGCCCCGACCTTTACTTCAACAGGAGGACTCTTTGGGCCCAAGCGTTAGTTTTAGATTATTATTATCATCAGTTTCGGTTTAGAAATGGACTAGCTGAGAGTGTTATTTGACGACATACGGCACTTTGTTTAAATTGATCTTTTCTTTTCTCGAACATGGTTTTGCTCCTTTTTCTCTTGGTAGAAATCTGGTTTTCAGCCGCCGCAAGTGGATTTAGTTTTCCATCGACGTCTGCAAAGCCTGGAGGTCTGTTTGGAACAGCACAAGCTCAGCCGACAGTTCAAACGTTGCAGGACGTTATTCAAGTAGGGGACCATCTTTCACTTTTTGGTAGAAAAAAAATTTGAATTTTCAAGTTTTTCCGTTACCCCGTTACCCTACAGTCCGAGTTTCTTGTAGTGTTATTTATAAAAAGACACTGAGAAGGGCAACGAAAAATTTTCATTTTTTAGCGAAATTCCGCCATTACAAGTTGCATTTTCCTACGTTTTGAACATTTTCCACATATGAATTGGAAGAGAGAAAAAAATTTTTTTGGTACGCTCACGAAGTTTCTATTGGTTTCGCTTTAAACTTATCAGCCTTCATGTTCTTCTCTTTTGACTCAGTTTACAATTTTCACAGTTTTTGACCTGCTGGACTGATCAGTTGAGCAGTAGAGGTAGATTTCAAAATAACTTGCTTTCAATTCTATAATTTTTTTAGAATTCTGAATTCCTTGTTCGATCGCTTACTGCACCAGATTTATATGGTGATGAAAGGGACACAGTCATGGTAAAGCTGAACCAGCTATTGGCAGCCTGTGGTATTGGTAACGGATACTTTAAGGCTGACCAGCAACCAGTTGCTTATAATGCTAATGGGCCTTTCTATCGTTTCAAAGCAATTGGTTACAACAGGTATGTCAAAAACAATTTTGAGGTTTTTGGATTTTGATGGGCTATTTCACCTCTTTTCTCGTTGTAGAAAGAGTGAGTATCGCGAAAGTGACGGCATTGTGGCGTTAACGCTTAATGTAAATTATGACCAACTTTCTACAAATGCACAACGTCAAAAATTGACAGATGCACTTAATGTTATAGTTGGGAACAATACAAACGTTAGAACTCATCTGGAGTCAATTCGTCCACTCCCAGGAGAAAATGCCACTGAGGTTACTTCTGTGTTACTCTTTTTCCGGCCTATATAAATTGCTTTTTATTTCGTTTTCACAGCATGGGCTTTTAAATTTGAACTTCTGGTTATTAAAAGTACTTGTTGGGGATTGTGCATAATTTGAGGTTAGTTTGAACTCAAAAGCCTGATCTATATTTTGGAGGTATAATTTTCAGGTGCTGATATACGTGACGGAGAAGGGCAAAGGGAGAATATCGTGTAGAGAACTTTGTGCTTACTTTAAACAACCAACCCAAGAAGGGCAACTAAAAAATCAACTATGTGTTACTGATGTAGTTGCACGATCTTCGATGGATGATGCTAAGTTACGGGTTTATTTAGAAACTCCTCCTGCTGGTACTTGATTTTCCTGCTGTTATTTTTAGTTGTACTTCTTTTAAAGCTGGTAGCGAGTAGCTTTATTACTTGTGATTAAATGTTTGAGTTTAGGGTTTGATGCTCAAGTGTGGAAGCAGGCTATCAGAGAAAATCCTGATCCTGAAAGGTTAATCCCGTATCCCATCCGTGGATTTGAACAATTGCGGAAGCGACAGAAACTCCAAGTATATTTTATTTTTTTTTCAAGTCTAATTTTGTATTAGTGAGCACGCTGTAGGCTGGATGTGATAAAACTTCCCGTGTATATTTTAGAGGTTCATTGCATTATTGTAGGTCCTTTGTGGTTCATTAGTGGTTCATTTGTGGTTCTACAGATAAACTTTTGAGTAGGAAATTTCTAAACTTTTGAGTGGGAAATTTCTATTCAAAGTTTTTTGTTT